TTTTTAGTTTTGAGTTTTTTTTTAATTAAAAAAATTTTTTTGTAGAAAACAAAAAAAAATTTTTTTGTAGAAAACAATTTTTGTTTAAATCTTTGTAAAAGATATTTTTTTTTTACATATCATTTACCTGAAATTCAAAATAACATTATCGGAAGGTTACAGTGGCATGAATGAAACACGAAATAAAATGGAACATGAGTGAAACAAAGGTAAAAAATCAAAAAAATAGCAGCAGATAGAGGGCAGAGTCTCAAAAAATTCAGACCTAAGATTTCAGTCCTCAAATCAATCTGTTAGGTTAATCTTTGAAAAAGTAAAAAAAAAAACAAATCGATTTTCTTATTTCTAAACTAGAGTACCCTCTTAACTATTCTCAAAGTACAGAAAAAGTATCATGCTATCTTTACCAATCGTTCTCAAGTTATTCGTAATGTTTTTTGGTATACCGTTTCCAATTTTAATCGAAAAACTCCCTAAAATGAGACGGAAATAAACTCCTACTTCCGTATGGTAGCATATACTTGTAGACCGTGCAGAGACTACATTTTACGAACAGCGTAAAAGTCACATTCAGCCACTATATCTGTGTTATCCGGAAAATTATATTCACTTTGTAGATATGCGACTTTAATATCAACAGTTTCTGCTGATCTGAAAGCCAACAATTTACCTTCCAAGACGTGTAATGGTGTGAATCGGAGGTTGTTGACTTTTTTTCAGCTGTCATCCAGCCCCGTTTTGCAAGTGATGGTATTCCTAAGAAGAAGCAGTATGACATATTGTAACAGTTATTTGGAAGGTGCTGTAGGCATACGGGAACTCCGATTGTTAGTTATAGTAAAGACACAAATCAAACGAGGGGTGTTAAACTTGACTAAAATGTTGTCTGAGAAGCTATCAAAATGGTTTAAAACTAAAACTATTTGACAATGGAAGGAAATTGTGATATAGAAATAGATCACCTTCTCAAGGAGAAGTTCTAAATGGAAACAAACGCCTATTAAACCGGTATCGAAATATTGGAGATTGGTTAAATTAAATAGAATTGGAAAATTTCAATTATAAATTATATGTTTATCTATACTAATAACACCATAATTATTAAATTTCATAATATTTTTTTTCTATTTATAATATATCTTAAATTCATGTCAAACAATGTTCGTCGATAGTCGATTTATTCAATACAAGACTTTACAGAATCGGACCGTATATTGATTGGCAATACGTTTCTCTAATTAATAAAGTAATATTATGCATATAAAATCTTTCAATTTTTAATTAAACTAATTTACTACACTAAGCAGGAGTTATTCATATTATGCCATTGTCATGCTAAACTTTCCAAAATTTCGCTTCACTTCGTTTCTTTTATTCAAATTATTTATGTATGGCATATTTGTATAATAATGTTTTTAACTTGTATGTTCATTTCATTCGATTTTGGTTTGGTAATTAAATTCTATGTGGTGTTGAGAGGCAGTTTCTGATTGCCCCTCTCTCGCTGACGTCGCAAGCTCTAAATGTAAATGAACTCATATATTGGTTATTATTTATATATATTCATATACCTTTGCTATCGAGAAGAAAATATGGGGAAGTCTTTAAAATATGTACAAATATTAGGGTGGATCA